ATTTAACCTTTGTTTTCCGAGTTTGACCACACACGGATTGATACCAGTTAGAGGACCATTGAAAACTAGTACTGGAGTAATGGATAGCTGTTTCTTTAGCCTAATTTGGAACTCATCGGAAGTATGCAGTCATTGGTAGGTTTCGAATCCACGACCTTCCTGTTACAAGACAAGCTACCTCGTATACCATTCAGCCACTGGGACCCGATCCAATGGTCTTTGAATTCTAACTTCTGCCAATTCACGACATAACGAGACCATTTTTCAATGTCTTCTGCGATGAGCTACCGCCTCATCTTCAAACCTGTTGTACCCTGCTGGTCATGGCTTCCCACTAGAACCTCACGTTAACTGCCTGAATAGGGCCAGTCGCTAGTGAGCATCAGATTAATTTTCAAGTATTGAACTTGTAGGGATTTTGTTTGATTGCGTGGAGGTTTATCTTTGTGAAAGTGCTTTTTCTACACACGCTTCTCCCAAGTGACCCATCTTCTCTCCTACTTAGCAAGACACTTTTTATTGCAAAAATATTCATTCAGACATCTATAAAACACAAAATAATCGAGCAAAGAATATTCTTTTCGATAAATTCCTCTTCCGGCTCTACAATTATATAGATGTTTATATACACAGCATATTTTAAATTAGTAGTTAATAACAATATTAGTGTTTTTTAAATAATATCGATTTGTAAGGTATGATCAATGCAATTACAGTTCATTAAAGATGCTTAAATTATAATAGTAATAAAGATATAACAGCGAATAGAATATCAACTAAAATTAGGGAAATTTCACAAAAATTCTGGATTATTCAAACCTGGATGGCCAAGGTAATGATAATGACTGAACTAACTTCTTTTGGGTTCATAAATTAGGCTTATTAATATGAATCCCCACAACCTCAGCAATATTTAGAAGTCGAACTCTTAAAGCGAAATTGAGATTCGTAGGTATGCGGTAAATGACCGTGAAAGCATGATTAACGTCAATCTTGTGTTCTGTCTCCACAAGATGCGCCAGAATAGCGCTGCGAATAGATTTTGTTTGTCCTTTGCTTAACCACCATGCAGGGTGATGTTCGGAAATTTGACGAGAAACACGCCTAATTGTACGGCCTATGTAACTGGCTCCACAGGAGCAGTTAAATTGACTAGAACTTTCTTGTCATGTGATGACTTACTTTTTATTAGTTGGTGAATTCGGTCTGTTTTAATGTGTTTCAATATAGAGAAAATATTCGTTCAGACATTTAGAGAAATAAAAATTGAGCAAAGAATATCCTTTCCGATAATTTCCTCTTCCGATTTCGTGACTTTGAAGTTATATAAACGCAATGTAATAAAGTGCTTGGTCCACCCGCCACAGAGTAAGAGCAAGAACAATCTACTCTGATGAATGTCTTAATGAAGAGGTTAATATTATTAAACCGACGAGTGAGAACGGTTACCTGGAAAAATTCATTGAGAAGAATATGAATCAAAAATATAAAGGCAGGCCAAAGTACCAGCAGTTGTGAAGATGGAAGGCCTTATTCTTACAAATTCACTTCCTCAGGGATAACATCAGTGGGATATTTATACAACGCCTAAGGAATACGGCGGTAAAAAGAGCATTCCCTGCTGCTGAATTATACTGTATCTTCAAAATCACCCATCCCTATTTTCTGTTTGGGGGGAAAACATGAACTGCCTAATTTCGCCACTTCCATGTGTATCTACCAATTTAACTGCTCCTGTGGAGCCAGTTAATTGCATAGGCTGGACAATTAAGCATGTTTCTCGTCGGATTTCCGAACATCATCCTGCGTGGTTAAGTAAAGGACAAACTAAATCTATTCATAGCGCTATTTTATCTCACCTTGTGGATACAGAACACAAGATTGATGTTAACCAGGATTTCAAAGTCATTTACCTCATACCAATCAACAAATCTTAACTTCACCTTAAGAGTTCGATTACTAAATATTGCTGAGATCGTTGGGATCCACGTAAACAAGCCAAATTCATGCGTCCAAAAGAAGCTAGTTCAGACACTGTCCTTAACTTGGCCAACCAAATGCGTATGATCCTCAACTTTTTTGGAAATTACCCTAATTTTAGTTGATATTCTATTTGCTATTATATTAATTATTATTATAATTTAAGCATCTTTGATGAACTGTGGTAATTCCATTGTGATCTTACTTAACAAATCGATATTACTTAAAAATCACACCAATATTGTTATTGACGACTATTCTAGAATATTCTATGTATATAAACATATAAGTAATGTGTTGGTTAATTGGTCATTCATCTGAATACCAATCAGGCGTCTAGAAATTCCCTGACTTAATTTTTGGTGTTTCCTCTGTTTAAAATTTCTACATTATCCCAATCATAAAAATTAATGTCCATAATTATCCAAGTGCATCGATGCGAAACAGCGGGAAGCGAGGAAACAGGTATAAAATGGACCCACACAAAAAACTCGGAGGATCTGGACTTCGCCCATGATGATTTATGCGTCTGATTTCCCACAAACTGGAAGATGTGCAAGTGAAAAGCAACAAGTTGGCAGATGAAGCATCCAGGACTTCAGGTGAACATAGAGAAGACAGAGGTGATGAAGATTCCTGGGCAACACCACCAACAGCCACAGCAACAATAATTGACAAAAATCAGCCTACTTAGGAAGCACCGTTTCAACTACAGGCGGACGGAGATGATGAGGATATCAAAGCGAGGCGATCATCGGGAAAGCAAGGCAAGCTTTCATTTCACTCAAGGTGGTGTGGAGATCAACAGCGCTCAGTGCGAAAATGAAAATAAGATCCGGATTTTCAACTCCAATGTGAAGTCAGTGTTACTTACTATACGGATTAGAGACTTGGCGCGTTATGAAGAGCACCTCAAACAAACTACAGACCTTCATCAACAGCTGTCTTTGCTTAATACCACTCAAGATCAGATGACCGGCCAGAGAAGATCAGCAACAGGGGTGTCTGGGAGCGGACCAACCAAACAGGAACCGATTGTGCAAAAATTACACAGGAAGAAATGAAGGTGGATTGGCTGGCAATACTCTGAGAAAAGAAACCATCAAGTGAGTGACATCACACACATGGCCATCGCTCGAGTGGAACCCAAATGGGGAGCGGCGAGTTAGTTGGTCGTCAGTGCGACAGTGGGATGACATGGAGAACGAGGTCATACTCAGAGGAGATGATAGCATGTGGACAGACGTGGAGCCAGGAGATAAAAATGTTGGCAAAGAACCGAACGCAATGGAGACGTGCAACTGAAGATTCATGCTGCTCTAGGAACTAAAGGAAGCAATAATATAATAATGGAGATATCAACTCAATTCACTTCATACTAAAACCTGCGCTGGCTGAAAATGTTGTCTCGCAGGTGGACAACGACAGTTTCGCAATTAAATCAACCAATCAGCGCATAGAACACAGCTAAATTAAAATACTCGCTTCAGTTTTAAAACTCTTAGTATGTAATTTTATCTAAAGAGTGAATAAAAGTTTCATAATTAAATCATCATTCAGTTCAGGGAACCCCACCTCAAGATATAAGGCTCTATTTTGAAGAATTAATTTGTAGGGATTCTACTGGTTTCAGGTTAAACCCCGGATTGATATCAGTTAGAGAACCATTGAAAAGCAAGCAAAGAGTACAGCCAAACAACTGCTTCGTCCTAGTTTGGGACTCATCATCAGTACGCACTTACTCCTAGGGTTCGAACCCAGAACCTTCCGGTTTTGCAAGATAGACTCGTATAGCATTCAGACACTGGGACTTGATTCAGTGGTCCATGACTGGGATAAAGTAGCTGGCTGTCCAGTACTCCAGGGAGGGTTGTCAATGGTTCTCTAACTGGTATCAATCCATGATCTAACCTAAATTAAATAGAATTCATAGAAACTAATTTCTGAATATTAATCTGATGCTCCCTAGTGACTGGCTACAGGACGGAGTTTCTTGAAGTTCTAGTGGGACGGAAATCGTAACCATTGAGATCTATCCAGTCGGCAGTGAGGATGGATTTCCCACCGATGACACTGGTTGGTGACAGTCGCGCTAAATGCATCACGAATTGGTAGAAGTTAGAATTCATAGACTGACCATTGAACCATCTCTCAGTGGCTGAATGGTATACGAACTTGCCTTGTAAATGGAACGTCCTGGATTCAAAATCCAGTGGGTGCCTACTGCCGATGAATCCCAAACTAGGACGAAACAACTGTCCATTATGGTTCTCTAACTGATATCAACCCATGGTCTAACCTGCAATAAGGCTGTACACCAAATAGTTGTACTACAAGTTATTAATCCAAAGTATAACAATTTCTATGTAATTCTGTGGATGCAACTCTTCAGGGCAACACGCGTTTCGTCCTTCTTGTGACTCATCAGATAATCGATGTACCTGCATTTTCCAATGACTGAGTTGTGGTTTTCCCACTGGGGCTCAAACCCAGTACCCATAGTTTCATATATGTCAAGGCGTTATCCACTCGGGTCATTCGGGTCACGAAAGTCACCACCTCTTCTGCAAAGAGTATCCGTTATTATTATTATATTTTAATTGGCTTTCCCAGATGACGAGTCCTAAACAGGACGAAATACGTATTGTCCTGAATGATTTCATCCACTTCTAGTCACTATCCACCAGAATTACTTCAAGTTGAATCCTCAGACATCAGCAGGAGAGGCTGAACACTTCGTGGCCAATCAATCAACTAACGGAAAAGTTTAAAGTAAATTAAATTTCTAAATGCATAAATAAACGTATAATTTTCTTTAAATTTCATTCTACTACTTTAAATAAATTCAGCTACCTTTCTTAGAGTACAAATTCACGAAAAAAACAACAGAAAATTAAGAAAAAACCCGGAGGGAACCAGAAAAACAATATCTAACTTACAATTATCTTTTTTTTCAAAATAAAAAAAGAAAGATTCAAATTTAAATTATCATTATAATTTAAATGAAAATATTTTTTTATTCGCATATATATTGTGTTCAACAGGCAGTGCATTACTCAAATATTCAATCACATTCAATGTCCAATGATCAATTTTTAATGGCGGTTAATTTACAATTATTACTATCACTGTTAAAGATGTTCAAGGGCTTGTGGACAAGTCAATAATTTTCTTAATAATCCCCATGTTTGCTTCGCTGTAATATCCATACCATTCACTGAATAACCACGAAATATATCCAACTGTGGTAGAAAATAATGCGGACATCGACGATGCTGTAAACATGAAATTAACTGTAACAGGATACCGTTAATACGATCCCCCAGAGTGTATTCAGTCCAATCTTCATCTCGGGGGTGTTTCTCACATTCATGCAGGACAAGGGTTTTAATATCATATTCTTGAATCACAGGAGGACTTTGATGAGGCGATATTGTCGATGAGGATGATGGGGATGGGGATGAGGATGTTGGTGTGGCCGCCGCGGTAGTAGTAGTATTTACACCTGTTAAATATTGATCCGCTAGAGTTTTTAAAATACTAAAACATTGTCTACGTATATTATGACTAAGTAGCAGTCTTTCCTCAGCGTCGTAGAAGTCTAGCAACCAGGCATCACCTTCAGCGGAAGCTTGTTTATCTTTGGTATATACAGATTCTTGACTTAACAGACAGAAACCTTCACGTTTCACTTCATTAACCAATTGACTGGATGGCCATTTAGGCGTAGTCAGTGAGGTGGGGGTGGTGCTCGTGGTGGCGGTGTTGATCATAGAATCTGTTGTATAACCAAACTGATTACCACTCGAGCTCACTGTTGTCATTGGCCAATGGCCAGCTGATCTCGGCCAGAGACCATTACAACGAAATCCTGGAGTAATTTGTAAAATATACTTATCCCGTATACACAATTTAACTTCACTTGTCTGTCCCAGCATACGTACCACCCCACGATAACTTGATTTCTGCAGAGCTTGTTGAACAAGACTATAGAAACGTGCACGAATTTTACGCGCTGACAGATAACCAGACGCTGTGATAAATTCAACCCATAATGACATGGAACGTTTACGACCATCAGATAATTTGAGGACAGCTCCCCCCGGGACACTTCCATCATCCATAAAGTTAAAGACACCCATTTGATTTAAAAATAGTGTAATTTCAAATTTATTCGAAGATAATACACGTAAACCATCATAATAAATTCCATTTTGTGAAGTATTACTATTATTTACACTACTCATATTCATCTTGTTAGTAGTATTAGTGTTAGTAGAAGTACAAGTATCACTAGTACTTTCAATAATATCCTCATGATCAGGATCATGATTCGGTTGTTTTTGATCCAAAGCTTGATGATTAGGATTACTGGTATTGATCACTTTCAGGGTACTGATGAAACGTGGTTCTTGTAATTCAACTTCATGAAGAATTTCTTGAGCTATTTGAACTATCTCCCTCAGTGTTTTAGCTATACGACTACGTCGTGTCTCTACACGATTCCTGTAGAATAAATGAAGATAGTAGTACATTGGATTAGGGATAGCAGATAAATGTCGTCGTGGAAGTTTCAGCGGATGACTGCCATGTTGGTGATGATATTGATGTTGGCTTTGGTTACAATCAGTATTATTACTATTGGTATTGTTATTATCTCCAGTATTGTTAGAGAGATGATGTGAATAGTTTAAATTGTATATTCCACGATGATATTCCATGGGTAAATTGTCGTCCACGCCGTTAGGATCTCTTCCGTGGAGAAGATTAACTTCTGTGTTGCCGTTGTTGCCACTTATATTGACTACTGAATTACCATTATTATTAGTAGTGATACTTGTACCAATAATAGAATTACTGCTACTACCATAGGCTAAACGATTTGAATACAAGGTGGGTAAAAGATCCATGAATTCTGTTTTAATGTAAACGGGCAAATATTTTAAAATTCCAGGAATATATATGAATATATCCGTTCACGTGTGTATGTGTGCGTGTGTGTTAAAACTGAGAATTTTAAAAACTACCACCCTGTGTCCAGTAGTAGGGATACTAAACAGAGAAAGAAGGCAAATAGTTCCTTTCCTGTCTGTGTTCTTTTGCGTTCAGTTTCTCAAAAACACACAAAAATTGCATCTTTCAAGTGTTCTTCTCAGTAAAACTCCCCCAGAAATATGCATATATTATCAATATTATTAGGAAAATGGCTTTTATGTCCAAAGTATTAATATGCCTCCTTCATACAATGCACAAATGAAAGCAGAGGGATCTGGTTGGTACTCGGGAAGTTTTGATAAGAATCCGTATCGTGTTAATGCGATAATAACATGTTTCATGATTTATCATGATTTATTATGATTTACTTGAAAATATTTGTAAAAATATGCTCCCTTAAAGTGATTTTATTTGTTTGTATTTGGTTGGGGGGGAGGAGTGGGGATTTTTCTCTCTCTCGCTCTGTCTGTCTCTCCATTCTCTTATCCAACCTCCTCCCCCCACATACACCTTCTTCTCCCTTCATCTTGATCCTTATATATTTTCTCTCTGCTCCTAAGTAAAACGAGATGTCTCAATGTATATATACCACCCACGCATTCTTTTTTTACTCTGTTTGTCTATTGGTGAACAGTTAACCTGTTATATGGATGTATTGATTTTTTTTCCAGTTGAAAGAAAATGCGATCCAATCCGAAGAGAGGAAAGCTTTAAAATGAGAATGATGTAGTCAACCAATCAGCGATTAGTGAATATATATATGGGATGATAGTAGATTGTCAGAGAAAGCATTTGAAAAAACAGATAGAGATAGGGCTTCGGAAAGATTAATTTTTTTACAGATAATTTTCACCTGGCCGATTTGGTTAAAACTTGGGCTATTCAAAAAAATATCCACCATTATTATGTCGTATAAAATTTTTCTCGTACACGTTGTGTTTAACCGATTGAAATATCACCTCTAATTGTATTTTCTACACTCGCAGATATCTAAAAAAGTTTACAGCCGGCTGACATTCGAGATTATTTTTCTATGGTTGGTTTGTAAGGATTAGATTTGTTTTTATGAATTGGTAGAAGTTTAATTGGGTCCCAGTGGCTGAATGGTCTACGAGGTAGCTTGTCTTGTAACCGGAAGGTCCTGGGTTCTAACCGCACTGAGGTGGGTGCGTCCTGGCGATGATTCCCAAGCACTAGGATGAAACAGCTGGCTGTCCAGTACTCCCTGCTTGTTTTCAATGGTTATCTAACCGACATCAATCTGTGATCAACTCGTAAAAACTCAAGATTATGGTAGATCTGAGAAAAAACATAATCGTGAGTACCAATGTATCTCAATATATATGAGATAACCTTTCTTGACATTTTCAGGACAAACTGACACTGCCTGAGAAGCATAAGTAACAATAACCTGCGGGAACAAACAGACCAGGAGTCGATTGCTCAACAAATATGTAAGAGAAAATTAAGATGGATGCATGGATCGGGCATACATTGAGGAAACCATCGAATAACATCGCGCGCAATGCAGCCCATCACTCGAGTGGAATCCGAGTGGGGAGTGCTAAGTGGGTCGGTGGTGCGAGGGTGACATGGAGGAGATCATGTCGGGAGGAGGAGATGAGAGATCATGGGCAATTGTGGACCCAGCTGAAGAGGACAGCAGAAGACAGCACAAAGTGGAGATGTGTTGTTGAAGTCGTATATTCCACTAGGAAACCGAAGGAACAATAATAATAGTAATTTGTTAGATGCATCTGAGCCTTGCTATCGGAACACAAGTCCAAAATTTCATGTATCATCGATCAACAGACGCGCACAATCATGTCTCAACAAGATTATCAGTTCCTGGAGATGATGCTTGCAGATCATCATTTAGAGACGCCGGTCGCATTAATTTCCATCGACTTTCCATCAGAAAAGTCAAATTTTTTATTTCCTCTAAAACGATTTAATTATCTTAGATGTGGACCCCTAAGGATTTTTTTACTCTAACCACGAACCTCCATAACGGAAACGAAAACTACCCCCTTGGAGAATGAAACAAGAAAGGAACAGAAGACGGACCAAACCCTCAAAAAAGAATGCAAAAGACAAAAAGTGGCAATTCATGATAATTGCATTTATATACATTAGTTTACATGGACACAATTATTATTTATTTATTTAATTCCACATAGTAATAAAGAAGATAATAATTTTCAACTTGATGCGAAAGTTTGAAGGTACGAATATAGATTACAAGGGGCTTAGAGACAAGATTACATAGGATTAGAAAACAGTTACAGCATATACAAAATTAATATTCGATAACTGGTGACTTTTCCTGCAGCAACTCTCTAAGAGTGATATTCTCTAGCCGCCCACTATATCGGAGCAATGGGAAGGACAGACTTCCGCATATGACCACTTCCATGTGCATATATAACAGTTCACCTGCTCGTGCGACGCTAGGTAGGTACATAGGTCGTTCTATGCGGATCTTATCAAAATGTGTTAGAGAACATCATCCAGCATGGCTGCAAACAGGAGGCACTCGTTCAATCAGTAGCGTCATAACTGAACACCTCGTCAGTCAATACCTGCCACACCATCTCATGTGACTCATCATTCAGAGTCATTTACAAAGTAAACAAAAATCTACCTACCAAAGGTAGTGTTTCCGACTTCTTTGTACTGCAGAACTCTCACCATATGCACCGAAAAGTCGGAGCTGTGTGTTCAAAAGAAACTAGTCCAGCCTTTACAACTACCATGGACCCAGTTCGGTTTGTTCTCTTAGCCTTCGGGTTTTTTTCGCTCTCTCTGTGTGTGTGTGATTTTCCTTTCTTTGTCTCCACTCAATTCATCCCCCTTTTTTGTCAGTTATACGAACAGTTATTTTAAGTTTGTTTCCATGCTCATTTTGTTCACACCTGTAGTTCATTCTATCCCTGCGTAACTTCTGTCTCCAAGCCTCTTGTAATTCATATCAAGTTGAAAATTATTATAACCTTCATTACTATGTGGAATTATGCAAATAATAATAATAACTAGAGACCGAATTGACCAACTAATAAAAAGTAAATCATCACATGACAAAAAAGTTCAAATTTCAAGTCAGTTGAAGTGATCAACAGATATAGGTGTAAATGAACAACCACTCACGACAATGGTTGTCAGGAGATACAATTATATCATCGTTTATGGAGAAATTAAGTCAATTCACTTCATACTGAAATCTCAACTGAGTATGCTGTATAGAATGGGGACGAAGAAGTCTTCGCAACTAAGTCAAAATCATCCACTTGAGCTACCAATATTCTCCACTTATTTGAAATCCAGTATGCTGAATTGTCATAGAAGCGGTAACATTATGTATAATCAGAGCCAGACATGCCATTAAGTGCCCCGGTAGCTTAGTTGGTTAGAGCGCCGTACTTATAATGCGGAGGTCGAGAGTTCGAACCTCTCTCGGGGCACTGGTTTTCATCATCTCTCTCAGTCTTCAAAAATCACAGGAAAACAGAGCACGTAGTTCAGCAAAAAGGAGGCTCTACTCAATGGATTCATCTACAGCTGTACAACCAGAATTTAATCAATCTTTTATTCATGAAAGAGGCTAGTAACAAAAGTGATTAGTTGTCACAAATAGGGTTGATATTAGTCGATGTGTGTAAAATGATTTGAATGAGTGTATTGCAGTTACGTAATAAGGTGCATAATTTTAATGGACAAGTTGTAATCAAGATGTACTTAGAAGCGAAGGAAAATGTGGAATTATGTCAGCGTCCCTTCTGAAGAATTACGAGAGATATAAGGAGTTAGGGAAACAGCAAGCAGGCGAACAAAAATCATTTGAGTATAAATCAGTGTGGTTGTTACCGTAGTAGTAGTAGTAGAAGTGGTTGAATACTTCTCTTTTTCGTATGCATAATTCTGGTTTCTCTAACTGAATTGCTAAAGCTTCTGCGATGCACAGAGGAGACGAAAGCGTATTGACTTTGATAGACTGTTCTACAATTCTGTATCATCAAGTATTGATTTTATAGTGATTTTGTTTGATTGGTTGGAAAATTTCATAATGAGCTGACATCAGTTAGAGAATCATTGGAAAACCAACTGGGACTTCTGGACAGCTGTTTCGTAATACTCTGCGGCTCTTCAGTACATTCACCTATGGTGCTCGAACCCAGGGTCTTCTGGTTGCAAGGTGAGCTAGCTCGTAGACCATTAAATCACGAGGACCCAATCCAATGGCCCATGAATTCTAACTTCTACCAATTCACGCATGACATAACGTGGCCACTTCGCAATATCTTCTTCGATGTGTAACTATCCTCGCCTTGAACCTGCGAAGGTGAAGTGGTCGCACCGTGTCATGAATTGGCGGAATTCGGAATTCATGGGCTGGCCAATAGATCGGGTCCTAGTGGCTTAATGGTCTACCAGCTGGCTCGCCTTTAGCTGGAAGGTGCTGGGTTCAAATCCTAGCAGTGGGTGCGTACTGATTAAGAGTCGCAAATTAGGACGACAGAAACACCTATCCAGTAATCTAGTACTGGTTTTCCAATAGTCCTTTAACCGATATCAGCTCGTAATAAAATCCAATTTTTTAGATTCCTTTGAAGAAGGAGGCATTTGTTGAGATGGAGTAATGACCAGTGATGACAAGGTGTTCGATTATCGCACTCCTTATGGAGCCATTACTATCTTTCTGCAAACATGTGGTGGGATACTGTTTCTGAGCCCTCGTTTTAGACAGGAGACGCATCAAGCTTCCAATTTATGTGGCTTAACAGCAATAGGTGAATTTATTGATATACGCATATAGAAGTGGTCAGATACGAGGTTAATTACTGAATCCTTGTTCATCAAGTTAATGCACACCGAACACCTGCAATAGAAATGACTCAACACCATTTACCAGAGACAC